TATAAAAACTAGAACTGGAGCCCCCCACCTTCTCCTGACTTCCTGCTTAGTACTCCTGGGTGATCCCAGAACACACATGCAAAGAGCCAGGAAAATTCAAGCTGCTTTCTAAGACCAGCTTCCACGTCACTGATCTCAGCCCTTCCTGAAGCATGAGTGCAGCACCCTGGCAGGAGCACGTGAAGCCTGTTTAGATTTCCACAGTGCAGTGTCTCTGAGTTAATTCCCTCCCTACCCATGGTGAGGATCCTCTAAAGCCTTGTATGAAAGGGCCTTGACCTTCACTGACCCCTTAAGTAGCCCTCACTTCACCTTGTGGGGGCCTTTTTGTTTCAAAGTCAAGGGATATAGAAGCCTTGGAACCAGAATTTCATCCATCAGCCAGTACCAGCCAGTAGTATATGATAGATTAATGAATGAAGAACTCTCTCATTTATACTTGAGTAATGACAAGAAAGGCACAATATCATTACTTAGAGGTGCTCCATGATAATCAGAGAGCATAAATGCCTAAAATCCATTTCCAAGCAAATTTCCTTTCCAAGTATAGGTACTGTTACATAAGATCGGATAATAACGTTCATATGAACATATCCTGCAAAAAGCGCTAATACCTCATTGCTGAACAGCACTACGGTCACCTTTGAAGTACTCTCCTTGGGAAGCTGTGCACCAGCACTAGCACCCAGTTCACTCTTCAAAGCAAATTTGGAATTTTTCTTCTAGCAGGGCCATCACAACTGTCACCGTATGAAGGTCTGACAGTGAAATTCATGAATTCATCCTAGAAAAAGTGCTGCCTACTTCACTGCTGAACATCACTGTGATCACCTTCGAAGGGCTCCCCCTGGCCATCTGGTGACCATAGTGATATTCAGCAATGAGACATGCAGCCTTTTGTCTAGGATGAGTTCACTAATTTAATTGTCACACCTCCTATAGTAATAGCTCTGATGGCCATTCTAGAAAAAGAGCTCCAAAAGTGCTTTGAAGGGTGGACAAGGTGCCGTATCCGCGCATAGCTTCCCAAGGAGAGCACCTCACAGGTGACCGCAGTGATATGCAGCAATGAGGCACGCACATTTTCTAAGATGAGTTTCTTCATGAATTTAAACGTCTGACCACATAGTTACAAATCATGAAAACGCACCTGAAAAGGACCTTTCAGACGTCATTCAGCCTTTTTCAACTCTGAACTATAAAAGACAGAAAATTATTTGATTGACTGTCCTATATTCTTAGGAAAGAAAGAGAACTCTTATATGCAATGAATGCTGGCAGGGGTGTCCAACCTGTGGCCCGTGGGCCAGGCTGCATGTGCAGTTAGTGTTTGTGTGTTTAATGTGTGACCCAAGACAACTCTTTTTCTTCCAATGGGGCAGGAAAAAAAAAAAGGTTGAACACCCCTGGGGGGCATTAGGACTTAATTTTCCCAGGAAACCCTGGAGGAGAAACATGCTGCAGTAATCCAAAATACCTACACATTAATTGTGCAAAAGCTGTGTAATAATTGGGATGGTGCCTGTGGTGCAAAGGAGTATGGCACTGGCCCCGTATACCAGAGGTGGCAGGTTCAAACCCAGGCCCAGCCAAAAACTGCAAAAAAAAAAAAAAAAAAAAACTGTGTAATAATTGTTCTTAGCCCCCATGCACATGCGCACCCGTGTGCGTAAACACACACACACACACACACACACACACATACACTCTTCCAAAAAAAGTTGTCCTCTTTTCATGATCTCTTAACAATGAAAATGGTTGCATTACTTCCAAAATTTCTTCGGAGAAAGGAAAAAATTCATTTGTATTCATGTTATAAATAGACACTTTTTTCCTACTTTGGAAACATAACAGGAAGATCAGCAAATCTTTTGTAGATATGCAAATATAACTTAAACAAAAATAGACTGCTGGCATGTTTGTTATGAAGAATACTAAATGGATTTTGTAGGCAAGTTAGACCAAATTGCATTCCTCTGAAGTATTTGCAAAGTTCTTTCTAACTTTGTAGTTAATCCACAAATAGAATCAGACCATCACCCTCTGAGGTGCTTGGGAGGACATGGCAAAGAAGAAACACTTCGTATGTTTTGCCAACAGAGTGTTGATTTTTTTCTCTACTTACATTGATTTAAATCTCGTGGGTAAAACAAAAGTCACTGATTTATCTCGTATCATTTCATTTTGATCACTGGTTTACAATCAGAAAATCAGCTCGGAGTGGGTAAAAATAGAACAGAGCTAGAAGTTATAAATATTTATAAAATGCCTACTGGAAGTCAGGCATGGTGCCAGGTACTTTGCACATAGAATCTCAACGGATTCTCATTAGGTAAGTAGTTTGATCATTTCCCTTTTGCAGAATTAAAAAAGTGAGACTCAGATTCACACAGCCATTAGAAGAACTTGGATTCAAACAAGTTTCTGTGATTCATATGTTCAGGAGTGTTCCAGGATTCGGCACATCTTCCTCCAATGATAACTAGAAACTAAAATGGGATATTTTATTTATTTTTCAGATTTATATCCCCTATAATTTAGCAGACAACCTCTCTGCCTTTAACTTGCCTTCACATAAGATAAAAGAAATGAGGATCATTGAGATGAAGAAATTAAAATTCATGACTGATCCTATAAATTTGACCCTCTTGCCATGACTGATTCAGATGTCCAGTATTCTCAAAGAGCAGCTGAGCTGTGTTTCACAAGGGAAGGGAGTCAAGAGTCAGAAGACTGAAGCACCAATGTCCTTAGAATCCAGTAATGGAGAAAACAGATACTGTGTACACAGCATAGATAATGGTCTTCTTCTATTCTTGAATGGTTGTAATTATACCAGTGTGGCCCAGAATCGTTTTCATCCCTTTATTTGTTTTAAAATTCACTTTCACTGACAGTCTTTATGTAGGTTCCTAGGAATTAAAAAAATGTGGACTCCTGTCTTAGCCCAAATATCTGGGGTTCACTTTCATACACACTTTAACCTCTAGAAAATCTGCTGTTCCCAGCCCTTCACAGACTGCTTTGGGTCTTTCCCCCTCCTTCACATGGGATTTTGCAGGAACTGCTATTAGGAAAGAGAGAACAGTACCAAAGTGTTTTCTTTTGTTCGAAAGCACAGTGCAGAAGCACTTTAAGAATAGGAGAAAGTCTTTCTGCTAGGCCTCTTTCAAGAAGGCATTAATTTTTATTAACGTGCACTGTGCTGTAGAATGAATGTTTTATGATCAAAAATGAGGAACAACAAAATGGGAAATTCAACCACAAGAAACTTGTGATAGAGAGCTCAGGATGGTATTAGCAAACCACTGTCTCTGTTGTATTTTAGGGGACTCTCAAGCACCCATCTAGGCAAAGGAGTAATTGATTACGGCTCCTTGAGATTACAAGAGGCAATATCAGAAAGTTATGGGCTTCCTTTATTAATAAGAGCCAGCTAAAATAAAGCTATGAATTAATATGGTAATGCTATGTTAACAAATGGGGCATGTATTAATAGGACCGAAGACTATTTCAAAAGCTCAGAATTATATACACATTTTGCATTTAAATGAGGTTAATTCCCAAACAATTCAGAAAAGATTTTTTTTTTCAGCTTTGAACAAAAGCATGTCTCTCTCAAGTTTGCATACTCATTTGTTCACTGTTTATTGAGTACCATTTATTTGCTAGGCTCATAGAAATGCCGGGATTTTGAATCAGCATCAAAGCCTAGAAAATGACTTACATGAGATCTTCGCCAGTGAAGAATGACCTTCCTAAATCACTTTGTAATTCCTTTAACAAACTATATAGCTTTTTTTTTTTCAATCTTATAGCTTTTCATGGTGAGTTATGACATACTGAGAAGAACGAGAACATCTCAACTCTGTAATTAATGTACACACTGCGTGCACAATCAAATAGAAACACAAACCCAGAAGCATTTCTGTGCTGTCAGTGTTGATGATTCAGTACAGTAATAGCTGTGCTGAGACCGCTTAGCAATGAGCCTACTGTTTCTTTTCATAGTCTTGCATGAAGTTCCTACCTAAATATTTTAGAAGTAGATTTCCAAAACATCATCTTATGTTTCCATTTGGGTCTAAACAGTGTGGGGAAGGAAAAAGCATAGATTTTGAAATCAGGCAGACTTGTGTGTGAATTGTGGTCATATGTGTAATACACTCTTTTTACTTTATCTTGAACATAATACCATCTACTTTGCAGGATTGTTGCGAGGAATATAGATGACGTCTATAAGGCAACTAGCTCCCAATAGGTTCTGCTTTTCTTTTTATACCGAAACTCTGAAAGACCACGCTGACATTACTCTGTTTTAGGTAGTGTAATTCACCATGAAATTAAAACAACAACAACCCCCCAAAAAAGGGTACACTAAAACAGAGGTGAACATTTTGGGCCTGATTCATATTTGTCTCACAAGAGACAAGCTTATTGCCATGAGGCCTCACCTGTTAAGCTTTATCAAGCTTATTTTACAATCAAGACTTCCATTTAAATAAGGCATCTAGTGCGAACACTACTGATTCTAAAGAACGGATCTTCAGATTAATGAATGGGTTTGAGAGAAAAGATCACGTCCCCCAGCCCCACCATCCGCTAGCACCACATCTGCTGTGCTTATTCCAGTATAAGCATGAGAGAGAAGGGAACAAAAGAAAATTACTAGATTTAAAAATTATTTAGGGTTCATGAGCAAATAGAAGATCAACTTCAATATGAAACAATCGTTGACATGCCAATTTTTTAGTACAATGAAACTACAAACTCTATTTTCTGAATAAATGGGAAAAGCATGGTCTTCCTTTAAGCATGGTCTTGCTTTGAATGGAACTTTTGTCCTAAATCTTACTTCTAACCCAAAGGACAAGGATATAGACCCTACTTGCACTGTACCAAAGAATGATGTTCTTTCTCTCTTTCCCCTGTCCGATTCTCCTTTTCACATCCTGTTTTCTTTTCTCTGACTTCTGCCTCTTCCTTCTGATACCCTGCAGGTGGTCCGGCCGTACCAGACCATGTCCAATCCCATGAGCAAGCTCACGGTTCTCAACAGCATGCATTCCCATTTCATTTTGGCTGACAACGGGACCACTGGAAAATATGGAGCAGAGGTGAAACTCCGGAGACAACTGGAAAAGCATATCTCACTCCAGAAAATAAACACAAGTAAGTAGGCTGTTGTCCCCCCGTCATGCCTCAGAGGAAGTATGTTGAAAGTGAATAACTTTAAGTACGCCAAGCAGCAGTATTATAGAAGTTGAGCAAGTTTCGTATACAGGCTATAATTTCTCCTGGGTTGCTGATAAGAATGAGAGGAAGGCATCCAGATGAGGACTATTGGAGGTGTAAGAACTGATTACACAATTGGTAGATTCAAGCTCCATTTATCATGTGGGAAAAATTCAACAGTACCTGAGGTTTATAGATATAGATAAGCTTTCTTTCTAACCTTCTCCTACATCCTTTACATGGTACTGTAAGGAGGACAGGCACCGGAGAAAAATGGTTTCCATTTACTATAAAAGCTTTTTTTTTTTTTTTTTTTGGTGGCACAAAGAAAAAAAGAAAAAGAATCAGGTTTTGATCTTAGCATGGCTGTGGCTTTGTGAAGGCATTTCACATTCTCTAAGCCCAAACATCATGTGACATTATCTTGATGAAATTTTAATTCTTTTAATTTTATGTATGTTTCATTCATTGCCTCTAGACACGTGTGTATTTAGATAAATGTGTGTGTGCATACAAACCACATAGCACACATCACATGGTTGTACTAATATCACCTCTCAAGCACATCCATGCTTTGTGCTTTATCGTGTAAACATTTGTTTTATCCATGAAAAGGTAGCATCCTAAAAACAGCAGTGCTCCCCAGATCACTAAGTGGCTTGCTTTTAAATGTGATTGAGCTATGAAAACAATTTACTGCCTCTGCTTACAAAATAAAATTCAATTAGTTTTCATAAAGTAACAGGTGAGGCTTCATGGCAAACTCAAACTTTGCAGTAATTACATCTTCCGTCAGAGAAACTTTGTTCTAATTGATTGAAATTCCAAAGCTTATCATAATTCTAAAGAACAAAAGATACTCTTTGGCTAGTTTACTTTTCCAAAGTCGGTATAATGTGACTGAACTTGTCCAAATCACTTTTCTCTGAACTTTTCTCTCCATCTATCCCATGTGGGTCTTTCTATAACCGCTTCCTCCCAGAACTGGTCTGTGAGATCTGTCAGACCACAGCTTCTCCTTCTGATGCCTCTGTTGTGGTTCCGATGTGAAGGGTCTACTATCATTTAAACAGTCAAGTTTCATAGTTTTTTCACAACAAAGTCTGGAACAATAAATTTTGGCCTAGGTCTGAAATAAAAATTATATTAGGAATCTGCTTTCCCCAACTGTCTTTGGAAAGAAGAAACAATATCATCCCAAGGTGAACATCTTCTGGGGGAGGAAGGAGAAGAAAAGACTAGAAAACTCATCCAGAGACCAGCAGAGGTCAAATTTAACAAAGCCCTGTTAGCAATGGGTGGTGGATTTGTCTGTAAATACCAAAACTGAATTTCATTACTCTCTTGGATAGAAAGGGCAGATTAATGCATTCAGTGTTATCTACTCGGGTTTCTCATAGGCTAACGCATTACTTTTTTTATACCCTCAGCTTGAATATGAGGACTTAAAGAGGAGTGAGCTGGAAGCTAAAGGAGATGGGAGAAGGGAGACAGAATAAATTCAGGGTCAAGTACAGTACTCAGCAGTGAGACAGAAGCTATCTAGACAGGCAAAGTGTGTCATTGTGCCAGGCCTGGTGGCAGCAGGGCTGGCTAGTCACTAGAGTGGAGAGCAGAGCTGGGGGTGTGGTTGTGTAAGCTGTGCACAGAGCAAAGCAGATGAGAGCTGGAGTGAAAAGCCAGCCAGGGCTCTGTTACTCCAGCCTTGTGCCTTCCTGGCTGTGCAGAGGAAATAGCACCTTTTTCTGAGTGGTCTTAAGGTGCCTTTCTCCAAAGCTCCCAGAGGTGTAAGCTGTGCAGGTGGCCTGGCAGGGAGGCTGTGGACAGCTACTCTCCATGGGAGCACAGCCCAGCAGCATAGAGCTGAAAATCAGGCCACACAGGTGGTCAAGAGGTCAGCCAAGCTAGATCTACCCAGTGCTAGTCCTTGCATAGTTCACCAGGGACACAACACGTCCTTTTCACAGAGACACCAGCCCTTGCTAGCTTATCAAAGCAGGTGAGGACACAGTGGAGACCCAGTCAGGGGACTAGATTACAAAGAAGAGGAAAGGCACAGACTCGGCGACCGGGAGACTCACTTACTTTCAGGTCTGTTATTCGTAGCTTCATAGAAATCCACAGAATCCAGTTTGGTGAATATAATTAAACAGTAAGGGCCCTGAGGTCACAGAAACCTACAAGGATTAGGAATTTGACTTTGACCATGAGTTTTAGCGGCTAATGTCAGGAGTTAGCTGCAGTTCTACCCCTGAACTTAAAGGACAAACAACTTATCTCAGTTTGCAGGGGACTTTCTCGGGTTTAGCACTAAAGTCCCATGGCCCTGCGTCCTTTGGGTCCCCTGCAAACCTATACGAGGACGGTTGCCCTTTAAGTGAATGACTCCTAAGTCCTCAGGTCAACTTTCCTCCTTACTGTACTGGGCCCTAAAGCAGGGAGGGAGCAGCATCCCCTCAGAGGGGAAGGAGTGACCCAGGCTCTTTGAAGAGCACAGAGCAGGACCTGGAGGTCTCTGTTCAGTCAGCAGCAAAGTGAAGCGTCCACTGAGAACGCAGCGGCCTCCATCACAAAACTGAAGCAGACAGGGAATGAGCCGCCTGGGCCCTCACAGGAAGCAGCAGACGTACGAGTACAAACCTCTTCTGCAGCTCCCAGTCGGTATTTTAGAACAGCCAATCTACTTATAAAGTAGGAAAACTACATGGTTCTTCCTTTTAAAAATAAAATTTTATTCTGTAAGTACATCCTAAAATTTCCATTTGTCACTCCTTTATTGTTTGCTACTTCAAAAGTCTGGGAAATCTAAAATACAACTATGGAACTCGATTTCCTGAAAATGAGGCACTAGGTCACAAGGATATCATCCACCACCTCCTAAGCTCAGGACGGTCCCTGGGGTGTCTAAACATACCCGGCATTTTCCTCATCCAAATGCCATCCCTCCTCATCACTTACAGGTGGCCTTCCAACTGGAGCCACCTATCAATGAGCCCATTTTCTTACGTAAATGACATCATCTTCTGAAGAATGTTTTCCTTACATATTATGTATGGAAAGAAGACCCTAAACCCTCCTCACCATGACAGTGATCACGGATCACATCTCAGGCACATGTTATCCCTCCATGCTTTCCGTGCTTTCCCCCCGCTCCGTACTGCCAATAGTTAGGACGGAGCACCAACCTCACTTCTTGATGGGCTTTGGTGATAAAAGAGAATCCTCTCAGATATGAGCTGTTACCTGCTTCCCAGTGCTCTTCTATCTGCAATTTACTAAACTTCAAATTTAATAAGGAACAAATTTCTCATTCCTTTACTAAATAAATATCTTGTTCAGATCTGACAAGTTAGGAGAGCTCCCTTGTGCTTTAAAATATCACTCTAGTGTTCTGTGTAAAGATTAGACTGAGGTTGGGGACAAGATTAAAAAACAATGAGATGCTTTCGGGAGGCTATTAATGATGTCGGCGAGAGATGACAACGGTTTGAATAGGGATGGTAGCACTAGAGATAGTAAAAAAAAAAAGTTGTAGCAAAAGATGCATAATTTAAAATTTACTATTCTAACCATTTTTAAGTGAACAATGCATTGGCATTAATTTATATTTATGTTGTTATTGTACAAACCATCACCATCGTCCACCTCCAGAACTTTTTCATCGTTTCAAACTGATACTCTATACTTATTAAATAACTTTCTTCACATCAACCCCTCTGGGAAGCCACTGTTTTACTTTTTGCCTTATACATCTGCCTATTCTAGGTACCTCATGTAAACAGTATTATATAATATTTTTTCTAAGATGTATTTTGAAGATAGAGCATAAGAGAGGTTGGTAATAAATTGAGCATTCAAGGTAAGGGACAGATGCATCAAGGGTGCTGCTTAGTCAGCCTCAGAAATACCAATGCATCCTTAAAGCAATGAGCCTAGATGAGATCCCCTAAGGAGTGAGCATTTATAGAAAAGCAAGGGGATCGAAGACTAATCTCTAGGGAATTTGAACAAAGTCCTTGAGAAGATGGGAGGGTTACAATTCCATGCACAAGTGAAGAACAGGAGGGAAGGCAGACTGTATAGGCACAGATGTGGGTAGGGTAGAATATTTTCTGATGGGACAATCAGGTGGTTCTTTATAGATAGCTTCTATACCTGGTATCTAAGTAACATAATACAGGAGGTCATCTGCTGAGAGTATGAACAAGGAGGCAGTATTGGACACTAAGGACATAGAGACCTACATTCAGTTCAGAGACTAAGACAGTGAACAGAGTAGGAAGAAATAGAATTCACTCGCAGCCCACTTGATATCTGTGGTTGGAAACTTGGAGTAAATCTTCAGGGTTGTGGGGGTTTGGTCCAGCCATCTTAGGCTGCAGCAGTAGAGTAGGCATCAGTTTGGGATTTTGCCTGGCACATAAGAAAGAGGGAGAGAGAGGAAAGGGAGGGAAGCCAAGATATTTTCTGTATACTCGTGTCTATGGATGAAAGAAATGTGTGTCTGGCATTTGAAAGAACCTAAAATCAATAATCGAACAGGTTACGTGGAAGCACAGGAAGATGGTTAAATGAAATATCAGAAGTGACCCATCCCTTTGAAGTATTTACATAAACAAAATCCCATAAGAAACAATTTTTAGTATCTATTTTATTGTTATTCACAGAAGCCGAATCCGCTTAGCATATTGCTAGGAATATAGTTTGAACAGCTGTTCGATAATCCTGTGTGAGCTGAAAGGATGAATACCCAGGGACTCCTCCAGAAAGCAGCATCTCCATGTCCTGATGAGGATTCTAAAGCCTAGGCATTTATTTTAGGAACATTTTTATTATTAAAATATTTCAAACCAATGTAAAAATTAGAGAATATTATTACAACCACCCTGTATAACTGTCACCCGTTTATCGACTCCTGACCCATCTAATTTCCTCTA